AACCTTCAAATATTATTGGTGGTGTTTCCCATACCCAATGAACTGGATGCTAGAATGGAAAGGAAAGAAGGTGGGAAGAAGAGAGGAAGAGAAGGAAAGGAAGGGAGGAAGGAGGGAGCCAGGGAAGGAAGGATTAAATCAAAGAAAGCATAATTGTCAAAAATACAAGCTATTTGGGGTACATTGCTTGCCCTGCTTTCATGTCATGGAAAGGACATTAGGGTAAACAAAAAGTCGGAAGACAAGGCCATTTGTGGTTCTCCTGGAGCGACCAGAAGGGTGAACTTCCCACTTCCTAGTCCCTTAAAAAATAAGATATCTCAGAATTATCATCCTTGGTATGCTGGGAAGTCTAATCCATGACCACATCATAAGAAAGCAAGCTGAGGGGATCCCTGGGTGGCTCAGCGGTTTAGCGCCTGCCTTTGGCCCAGGGTACGATCCTGGAGTCCTGGGATCGAGTCCCACGTTGGGCTCCCGGCGTGGAGCCTGCTTCTCCCTCCTCCTGTGTCTCTGCCTGCCTTTCTCTCTCTATGTCTATCATACATACATACATACATACATACATACATACATAAATAAATAAATCTTAAAAAATAAAAAAAAGAAAGAAAGCTGATGTTTATAATTCAGTTGCCAGTAAGATGGTGTCAGTCTTCACCTGCGGACTGCTTATGTGGCTCTCCACGTGGCCACACAATGGTTCCAGCCAATATTTCTTTCAGTCTCTTTTGGGAGAAGCGGGGGATATAGAATAAGATCTTCTGTGAAGGTTGTACTAGTTCGAGCTAATTTATTTATTATACAAGAATACACATCCTGGATAAAGTCCTTGATAATTGTTCCCTGCATTTGTACCTCAATCACCCTACTATTCATACAGGTCACCCCTAAATCTGGCTTCCCTGCATCTCGCCATGCCCATTCTATATCTGGAGGCTCAGGGTGGACGCTTAGCTTGTCCCGGATCCCTTGAGAGGGGAGGCAGATCCAGAACTCACAGATGTTCTTCTGATCAGCATCTGATGCTGAAGGTGTGTCCTGGGAATATACTATTTCTGGTTCTGCAGGCTTCAAGCTCAATTTGTCCAACGGCGGCCTCCTTTGCTCTGCCAAGCCTCCAGGCCCCTTTGCTCACTTCGGCCCCACGGTCTGTTCTGTCCTCGGGCAGCAGTAGCACCTGCCCTCTGGGGTGCTCAGCCTGAGGCCTGCGGGGGCAGCCAGCTCCAGCACTCTGTGTCCTGAGTCCCTGCAAACCACGTGGCCTCCAGTTCGATTCCGCATGCCTGAACATGGGACAGAGAGTACTGACCCACCCACCAGGCTGGAAAGACCTGCTTTGTGGTGTGAACTGATCGAGTGGCTCCCCCATCTCCCCCACCGTGATTGCCATCTACCTGCGGGGCGCTAGTCCGACCGGCAAGAGGGCTGTCATCTTCCTCCTTTTCTTTCTTTTTTTTTTTTTTTAAACCAGGATGTGGAAGGTATACCAATCAGATACACAATTAAAAAATGCAGCAGAATCCAAATTAAAAGGCCCAATTTAGGGCCACTGGAGCTAGTCTGGCTCAGGCAAGAAAGTTTTTTCACACACACACCTTGACGTGGGATCTCTAAAGTCTCAGGACCTGTCAGGTCAATGGTTTCCAAGGTTCTTTTTACTTTTCAAAATTAGTTAGTAGTTAGGAATTAATTGTATCAACAATTTTAATTTATATCAATATTTATTAACAGAAGGATTGATTCTATCAAAATGATGATACATGAAGAAATAAAAAATTGGTGATAAATTAATAAATTATGAGCCACCTAGCAGGAACACTCCTGTAGTGACAAGGTCTTCAGGAAGGAGCAGGAAGGCAAGTGGATGGCCCCAAATGTCCACCTCATCAAGTGGAAAGCACAAACAGGTGCCCTTCGCTGTTCCAAACTTTGCGTTATGTCCCTTCGCTTTTGGGAAAAACCCAACATTAGTACCGATTTTCACTTCTATGAAAAATGGTGAAAAGCAAAAAAGTAGCGGTCAGCGTTGGTTTTGCAGTGAGAGGAGCCTTGAGGAGGCAGCGCGCACCTGGCCGAGGAGTGGCGCCCCCCGCCCCCCCACCCTCCCGCACCCCCTGGGGAAGTACACTCAGCATCTCCGCCCCGGCCAGCTGAGCTGTGTGTGAGCATCCCGCTTCACCTCCCCGTGCCGTGTGCATGTCAGCAAGGTGTGTCCTAAGTAGCAGAAAAGCACCTAAGGGAGGTCTTATTTGGGGGTCTGGGAATGCTAAAAAAAAAAAAAAAAAATCGGAGAGATTAATGGTAACTTTCTTTGCTTTTGGCCATTTTAGCTCAGGAAAAGTTCCACAGCCACGCTGTACTTTCAGATCTCGGGGAAAGCTGTATATTGTTGATGCTGTTTCCTCTTCCTCTCCTGAGATTTTCTGTGTCCTGCACCCCTTGCAATCCTGGCTTATAGTAAACCTATGAAAAGAACTTCCCTTCTCAGTTTCTGTTTCCTAGTGGCTGCTAACTCCTGATATTAGACAGGATTGTGATAGCCAGGGGTAAATCAGAAAACAGGATTCTCACAGAAACCTGGGGCTTAATGCAAGAATAGAAAAAAAAAAAAATAGGGCAGCCCTGGTGGCTTAGCGGTTTAGCGCTGCCTTCAGCCCAGGGTGTGATCCTGGAGACCCGGGATCGAGTCCCATGTCCGGCTCCCTACATGGAGCCTGTTTCTCCCACTGCCTGTCTCTGTGTCTCAAATAAGTAAAATCTTTAAAAAAAATAGTGATTTTGGTATTAAAGAATATGAATTTTATACTTATCTCCATAGAAGAGACGAATGAATCCAAACAAGAACATTGGATGATGATATTAAATACTCTTGGATATTTTTCAAGGATGCCACAACCCAATTCCTGTTTGGCTTTCTGAAAGCCTCCTCCCCAGCTTCAAGAGAACACCTACTCCAGGAAGCCTGCCTCTATTTCCTTCCTGAGATTTTCCTCCTAGGACACAGGTCACAGTTCATTGTATATTATTCCATTTGATGATGGTAACTTAGTGTCCCACACAACTACTATATGTTAGTTTTGGCAAACTTCCTTCTACATCTACAATAATGTTACTGCATTTACTGTGGGCCAAACCGACTTTTGCTTTACCTGGAGTATCTCACATAATTCCTACACGACCCTGAGACATGTACCATTACGCCCATCTTACACCCGTGGAAGTTGATGCATACTGTCGTAGACACGAACAGTCCCCACATGCAGACCATTCGTTTTTGTTTGCGTTAAGTCAGCTTGGGATGGGTTCTGCTGTGCTAACAATGAAACCTCAGTGGATGGATGGAATTAAGGTTTACTTGTTCACACCACCCTCTGCAGGTTTGCTGGCCCTCCTCCATCTATGGCCAAGCCTTTCCGGGAATATGTGACCTCTGACATCAGGGGTGGAAGCAGAGATGGATACACCCAGCCTTTAACAACCCCTGCCTGGAAGTACGCTCCATTTTCCCTTAGAGTCACAGGGTGCAGCATGAAGGTCTCCCTCCTATAGTAGGGATCTTGGGGCAAGTCATGCTTTAGAAAGAGCCTCTAGTGAGGAGTGGAGTTGAGGGAGGGGGCACCCGGCTGGCTGGTGGGTGTCTTCTTGGCCCTCAGCTTCACTGGTCTTCTCAATCTGAAAGTGTTGGTTTCAAAGATCCTCACCTGTGATGTTTTTCCATAAACGTGGTGACTTTATATGCATTATTTTATCACTTAGTTTTCCATCACAGATTTTGAAAACTTCCCATGTATGGATAAACTTCCATTTGAAAAATGCCATGTACTCAAGGGAAATTATGCTGAGCATCAAAACACATACAGCCTTTGGCCTCGCATGTGTAGCAAGTGTGCCATTTGCCATGTTTTAAAAATCTGTTTACCAAGGGGTTTTTTTCTGCCTCAATACACTTTTAAAAATTAGTCAAGGGGGATCCCTGGGTGACTCAGTGGACTGCCTTTGGCCCAGGGTGTGATCCTGGGGTTCTGGGATCGAGTCCCACATTGGGCTCCCTGCATGGGGCCTGCTTCTCTCTCTCTGCCTGTGTCTCTCATGAATAAAATCTTAAAAAAAAAAAAAGTTAAATGCATCAATCTTTTATCCCTTATAGTTTTTGTCATCCTTACACTCATGTCTGAAGGGACACAAAGTCCCTGAACTTTTCTCCTAGTATCATTTAAACTCCATTGTTTAAAATTTAAAACTTGGATCTACTTTTAATTTAGTCTGGTGTGAGGACAAGTAAGCAATCTTATTTTTTTAGATTGGTTCCTAACTGAATCTTCACTGTTCAGTGAGTAATTTGCCATTTTCCCATTGATGTGAAATGAAAAGCCGTTTGTCCCCAAATCCAAATGCACAGGCATGAAGTACACTTCTGGAATCGTCTGTGGCGGCTCCAGCTCCAGATGTTAGACTAACATTTAATCCTCATTTCCTTTCTTAGGTCCATTTCATAGATGAGTTGTAGAATAGTATGATGAAACCAGGAGGGGAAAAGTTTTTTATTGTAACTACAAATTTAGACATCTTTACAATGTTAATGTTATCTTTCTAGCCAAGATCATCTTTCATGATTAATATGAATGTTTGGGAATGGTTTTTCAATGCCTAAATGCATGTTATTCCTTACTTTTGAAGGTAGTACCAAAAAAGGCACAGCCTGCCCCAGAACGGAGTATCAGGTGGGATCTAGGTACATCTGGTACAATGTCTTCAGCTTACAATCAAGTTTAGGCCCAGAGAAGGGAGGTGAGGTGGCCTGGGTCACACAGCATTCTGGCAGTTGGGATGAGGATCCAGAAGTCACGGTCCCTTCCTGGGGTTTCTCTCTCCTAACTCGGGTTCCTGAACCGTATACCTCTGAGGCTGCAGGCCGGGGAGAAGCCACAGGGTCCGACACAGCTTTCCACATCCCCTCCCCCGCAGGCCCCCCGCCACACAAAGTCAGCGATCCACAGTGAAGAGAAAGACATTTAATCACTTCTTGGTCTTATCTCTTAAAGCGCTCAAAGTGTTTTCACAAGTGCAAAGGGAGCGATTGCTCTCAGCCAACATTTACCAGTAATTCCAACACACGCAAAAAAACTACAAATCACCGTGCTTTATACTTACTTTTAATTTCTGCACTGAAAAAAAAAAAAAAGAAGGTGAAAACCATGACAGGTTAGTTTACAGTGACGTCACCTCTGCCTTTAAATTAACCTTTGCTCTTGGGGGCAGAAGGAGGAAAGAAAGACAGGAACACATCAGAGTAGGAGAGCAAAACAGTGGCCAAGACGCCCGGGTCTGGCTAACTCAGGCTCCGAAAACCCGGAGACAGCGGTGCCCTCGGTGCGCTAGCCTGTAAACACGGACAGGCGACAGTTAAGATACATTAAAAAAAAAAAAAAAAAAAAAAAAAATCCCACAATTCCATTCTTAGAAATCAAGCACAAAAACTGACAGTGAATACAAGGTTCACGAGTGTGCCCTGCTGGCCGCGGAGGCCGCCACATGGTGTGGCACACGGGCCCCGGCCCCGAGCGGCACCTGCTCTACACAGAACCCCAGGCCTTGCTGAGCTGCCACGGGCGCCCCCTCGTCTCGCCAGCACAGGGCGTTCTGCAGGTCGGGGACAGCCTGCCACTGTGGCCTCCCCGGACAGACAGCAAGAGCCGCGGGGGTGGGTCTGTGTGCTTTGGAGGCTCTGCCTCTGGAATGTTCTGCACCGGGGCTGGGCTGGGTGGGGGGTTTTAGTTACGCTCCACAAGTTGTTTAAGTGCTTGTTTTATTTTTCATGTGCAAACTGTCACTGTCTAAAGCTTTCAGAAGGACGTGTACAGATAGGAACACCCTGCAGAGAGACGAGGGCACTCGAGTGAAGGCCCTCCCTCCTGAGCGGGTGGGGGGCATGGGGGCGCATTACAGAAATATTTAGAGAAATGATGTGTTCTGCTGCGGTTAAGCTCTAGTCCCTGATTCGGTCTGTCCAAAGGAGGGGGGTCCTCAGTAGCTGATTGTCCATTCTTTGACGGAGGCGTCATGGGAGGTCGTGACCAGCGTGTGCTCATCCAGCCAGGCCAGGCTGCTGACGTGGTGGAGCCGGTGTGCATCTAGGGAGAAAGCAGGCACTTAAGGGAAGCCCAGCATCTCCGCTCCCCCACTGCCCCACACTAGGGGCACAGGACAAGCTGTGCCAACACCAACAACTGGCCCTCAGAGCTGACTGTGGGCTGCTGTTCATCAGACCCCTGGCCCTCTTCACAGAAGGGTGAGCATCTGGAAGATGGAAGGTGGGTGCAGGTCTTCTCAGCCCAGCATCCCTGCTCTCCCTCCCAGACACAGTACCATCCCGACAATCAGAAACGTCCCTTGGGAGATAAACTGCTCCTCCCACAAAGGGGTGAAAAGTCTTTCTTTTGATGCATAAAGCAACAATGCACAGAAAATACACAGCTTCCTCGTCCATCTGCTGTAATACGATGGGGAGACAACGAATAAAGGCTGAGAAACCTCTATAAGAAGTGGACCAGTGACCAGAATACCCTGAGAAATCCCCCCTGTAAGAGGTGCACCAGAGATGACCAGATTCCCCCTCAGGTTTCCGCCTCTACCCACAGACTCCAGCTGCATCGTGACCTTGCTGGGTCTTACTAGAAGCCTCACACACCAGCAGGCCCCAGACAACGTGTCCTGTGCCGCCTCCAGCCTGGCCCTCCCATCCGGCTGGGGCTGCAGCCTGCCCGTGCCCTCTCTCCACAGCAGGTGCCAGGGGCCTAGAGGTGGACTCAGATGGATTTTTAAATAGAAATCATCCCATTTGTATTAATGCCAAAGGCTGCCCACTTGGTAGATAAGGACGATGGGGAGTGGACAGCACATGAAGGCCAGGGAGGAGTGGTTCAGGAGAGAAGTGCGGTCACAGGTGGCACCGGGACAGGAAGATTTCTGATCCACCCTGGACAGGTGCAGTCCCTCTTGGGGCCACGAGCCACATGTGACTAGAGCCCTTGAAGTGAGTTATTGTAGAAAAACATAGAAGAAATGTAGAAGAAATGTTACATGTAGAAAATATATGTTGGGCTAAATAAAACTTACTATTAAAAAAAAAACCCAAAACAACAACAACAACAAAAAAAAAAAAACAGATGCCTGGGTGGCTCAGCAGTTGAGCATGTGCCTTCAGCTCGGGGTGTGATCCTGGGGTCCTGAGATGGAGGCCCATATCGGGCTCCCTATGAGGAGCCTGCTTCTCCCTCTGCCTATGTCTCTGCCTCTGTGTCTCTCATGAATAAATAAATAAAATCTTAAAATAAAATAAAATAAAAATAATAAAAATAATCTAAAAAAAACCAACAAACAAACAGGTGAGACTATTCTTGAATGGGGCTGCTAAAAAAAAGGGAAGTGCACATGAGGCTCTGTTACACTCCGACTGGGCACTGTCGGTTGTGGAGAGAACCTGGTCAGCAAGTTAATTCAGGGGTGGAGCGGGGGAGAGGAGTGCTGGGGTCTAAAATGTCTGTGTCTGCCCCTCAAAATTGTATGCCGAGAAAGAGCTGAGAGCACGAAGGGGATCAGTGCCTCATTACGCGCCCCGTGGAGCACCGCCCTTCCTTGTGTGGGAGGCTCCATGAGAAGTCTGGGACTGCCCACCCCCTATCTGGGCCCTCAGCCTCCAGAACCATGAGCAATAATTCTGTGGTCTATAAGCTGCCCAAGCTGCGGTACTTTGTTATGGACTAAGAAAGAGACATCAAGAGGGACCCCCCCCTCCATGTGCTAAGGCATGTGCCTGGGGTACAGAGACCACCTGCCCACACGCTAGGAACACGCACGTCCTCCATCCCTCTGAGGGTCTAGTAGGGGCCCGCAGAACAAGAGCCCAGAAGCACAGATGGGACCCTCGGGCCCCGGGGACAGCCTCTCTAAGGAGCCGAGGCAGAAGCGAGAGTCACCTTGGATCTTGACCCTGGTCTCGGGGTCACTCAGGGTCCAGACGTACACCATCATGTCCATGCCACCGGAAGCAAAGTGCTCGTTGTCTGGTGACCAGGCCAGGCAGACGATCTTCGCGTGGTGTCCATAAAAAACGTTGTTCTCCTAGTGGCGGGTTGAGAACAGAGATGTAGCAGGTCAGGGTCTGGGCCGGAGTGGCGCAGGTCATCTCCCCCGGCCCGCAGTGACCACCACCAGGGCCGACGTTTATGCAGTGCTTTCTCTGCCAGGCACCTGGCACGCCTCACGGAGGCCTCATGAGGACCCGAGGCGCCCACTGCTCTGTGATGAGGCACAGGAGGGCGCGGCCCAGCATCAGGCAGCAGCAACTACGGCCCCAGGAGCCCAGAGGGCCTCCATCACAGCACACAGCTTGCGGTGCCAGGTGTGCCCACTCTCCTTCACGGAGCTCGGCCCAGCCAGCGGACAGAGCAGTGCAGACATGAGGGCTCAAGGAGGCCCCGCCTAGGGTGGGTGGCACTCAGTGAGTGTCTGGGGCAGCAGAGGGAGGCCGGCCCCCCTACCCGACACCCACCCACTACTCTGCAGCCCAGAGCGAGGACTCTGCAAGCTGGGCAAGGACGCTTTAGGAATGCTTTCTCTTCAGGGCATTCCATTTTCTTAATCCCCAGAAAGGGTCGACTTGATGATTTTCTTTCTCCAGTCTGCCTGTTTTGTGCTGTGTTGATCCCACTCTGTAGACTGCTGACTTGGCATGCCCTCAACAAGACTTCAGTTGTATATGAAGGAAATCACTTAAAATGAGTTAAACACAAAATCTGAGAAATGCAGTTAAGGGACAGAAGGAAACCTCCTGGGAGGCGGGACATTAGGCCGATGGAGGTCCCGGCTACAGGTTTATGTCCTGCATTCACTTGCTCCTTCTGTCAGAATTAACATCATAGCATCAGATAGGTTAAAAACAAACAAACAAAAAAAACCCCAAAACCCTCAACTCTAGTTAATAACATATAAGCACAAGAATTTATGGGGAAGTGTATGGATGCTTATAATTTACTTTAAGTACACCCAGAATTGAGATTATCGGATGGGTAACCTAACACAGGGAGATGTTAATGGCAAGATCTGGGTGGTGAATTCTTTTGCCTCTGCTGCATTCCAAAACCATCCAAGTGCTGGGGGACCGATGGGGTGCAGGGCCCAGGGACCGGAGACCCTCCATCCTGCAACCCCCCACTCTGGCCAACAAGTGACTGAACCCCTAACAAAGCTCAGTCTGTGAACCAGACTGCCAAGTCTGTCCCACGATGAAATGGAAGGCTCTCGTCCCTCGGCTGCCCTCCCACGCCCAGGTGTCTCTGCACCCTGGTCTGCCCTCACCAGTCCACTGCCCAGTGCCCCCACACGAGGCTGTGCCGGGATGATCTGAGTTCATCTTCACAAGACTTTAAATGGCAATGAGACTTGCGAAGAAAACCAGGTCCCCAAAGCCAGGAAGTCACTTAGCCAGACAGCCCAGGTGGACCAACCAGCCTGTCTTCACAGCAGGCCTCGCTGCCGCCCAGGGCCCTAACTTCCCGGAGGCTGTTCTACACCACTAACAAAACCACCAGGTCCTGGACAACAGGGTACGCCGCCTCGTCCCACAGCATTCAGCTCCAAGAGCAAGGAAGCCACAAGTTCTTCTGCAAATGCTGATGACAGCAGGGAGAAGCCGTGCTCTCTGCAGCCCACCCACTCACCGAGTAGCCGTCGGCAACACTGAACACCGTGACCACCTTGCTGGCATCACACACAGCGAGGAAGGCGCCATCATGGGAATACGCCACGTCGGTCACGGGGCCCTTGGCCTCCAGGACCCGGCCTTCGTCCTTCAGCGTGGTGCCCAGGATGGAGTACAAGCGGACATTCCCGTCCTGCAGGACAGAGGGGCGGTGAGTCACTTCCCGATGTGCTCACTGGGGGAGCACACACACGAGTGTACACATGTGCGCGCACACACACACACCACACACACGCACACGCTCCAGACGCCCCCCTAAGACTTCTCAGCAGCTCCCACGGAGTACTCAGCAGTGCATGAAAAATTACTCCAGAAGGTCACTACAATGCTGAATGCTAGGCGCCCCAATTCTGATTCTGCATGTTTGGGTGTTCAAGACTCTGCCCTGGGATGCCTGGGTGGCTCAGTGGTTGAGCAACTGCCTTTAGCTCAGGGCATGATCCTGGGGTTCCAGGATCGAGTCCCACATCGGGCTCCCTGTGAGGAGCCTGCTTCTCCCTCTGCCTATGTCTCTGCCTTCTCTCTGTGTCTCTCAGATTAAAGAAATAAAATCTTTAAAAAAAAAAAAAAAAAAAGACTGCCCTTTTTCATAAACACTCCAGTAAATTCTAATCCAGGTGTCCACAGGCCAGACATGGAGAACCACCTATACATGTGTAAGCGCTCCAGTGAGGGCCCCTGGTCTGGCTCTGTCCCCTCCGGCCACATGGCCCTTCTCAGCACCCAGCAGGCTCCTTTGGGAACGGATTCATTCTCTGACCAAGACCCCTCTGTCCAGCCTGCTGTCTCCCATCCTTGTCGTGACCCAGGCACTTCTTCACAGGGAAGGCACACCTGCTCTTTTAGAGGGCCTGTGCCACTCAGCCCATGGGCTGTCCCCTGGAGCCCAGGATGCCCATGGGATGATCTGTCTCTACCCAGCTCTCCTTGGCCGGAGCCTCTGAAGGGGTATCTGACAGCTCTGCTGGCAGTTCCGCCTGTGCTGGGAGCCTAGCCAGGCTGACACCCCTTGGGCACCTCCCCTCCAGGCCAGGGAATACCCAACTTCATGCCTCCAGAGCCTTGTCCAGGTTCTGGGATTGAAAAATGATGGGCAGACAGAAGGAAGAGGGACAGATGGTGTACTTGTGAGTGCCCAAGGCTGCCCTGGGAGGCCGATCGAGGACCAGCCTGCCCTCTTGGGGTCGCTGAGCTCTAAGAGAGGCAAAGTTAATCCAAGGTCTCCCAGCTATGTCCACGAAACAGCCCTGGCTCTGCCTCTAACACAAGAGGAACAGCTCAGTCGGCCCTGCAGGGTTTCTGAGCACAGATGCCCTGGAAGTGACAAGCCCACCTGATGCCTACCCGCAGCGGAGTCTGGGCTCCAGGTCTTGCGAGTAAACTGCCCACAAGAAAACCATTCCAAGGAAGGAAATGGCTATGTTCACAGACTACACAGAGGTCATCACGGAAGGCACAAGCCACCAATGTCCACCACCAGGCTAAGTGATGGGACACCCACTTGCTGGAATGCCATGAAAATCAATGGAGACCACTAGTGTGTGCGGGACAAAGGGGAAACTTGGTACAAGCACAGATGTGTCTTGTGTGATCACGGAGATTCACAGGCCCAGGGTTCGCAGAGCACCAGGAAGACGAGAGCTGCCAAGACCTTGAGGTGGTAGCTGAGGGGACGAGATAGTCATCTCTTTTCAAGTGAAAAAAAGTAAAAGGTCAAAGAAAGAAGCAGGGCACAGTGCTACGGCCCTGCAAGGGGGAACACCAGGTTCAAACCCCACGTCTCACTGTGACCTCCTGCCCCAGGACCACAGCTATGAACAACTCTCTGAAAAAGGGAAGGCTGTTTCTCAAGACATGCCAGAGGGCAGGTATTTGGGCAAGAAAGGGTGACGGGCCCCGAAGGGACCAGCAGCACTGCTGAGGTGCAGGCCTATAGGGACAGCGTCCGGGCAGAGCACGTGCAGGAGAGCAGCGCCGAGGAACCCGTGGGAACCAGGGAGGCTGCTGCCCAGTCCAGGTGGGGCTGCGTGATAGGGAGATGCAGCACTCCATGGAGGAGCAGCCACAGACAGGACGCATCTGACCCTGGAAACAGCTTACGTGGGTGCAAAATGGTAAAGCCCACGTCTTACTGCCACCAAGGATGACAGCAGATGAGAAGCTACGATGCAAGGACGACGAGCCCTGCCCTCTGTATCTGGGCAGTGGTGGCTGACTTGGCGTCCATGGGCTCCCTCACCCACTTGAGCAGGCACTCTGACCTGCAGTCAGAACACCCAGTGGCCTGTCTGGCTGGTCCTCCTACAGGCTGGATGCAGGGTATCAAGGATGATTTGAGGCTGGAGGCGGGACCGCCTGGTGAGCAACTGGAGTGGCCAGCGAGCGCAGAGCTGACGCATCCCGCAGGCCAGGTACCGGGCAAAGCGCTGCCCACGTACCAGCCTTTCATCAGCCTTCATGTGGCTATGTGAGAACGGCCATGGGCCTCTTGGTGGGCAGCTGGCCACAGGGGTCTTTGAGCGTCTGGGGAGCAGGTGGTTTCATAGGAGGCACCTGCAGGTGACCCCTGGGCTGGCCTCTGGTACGGCAGGTGCTGCTCAATGCTGGCTTCCTTCCTGGCGGGCGTGAAGGTCTGTCATCTAGGCTGCAGAACCCCTCTGTCAGGGCACCTGAGCCCCTGGGGCCGGATGGGACAAAGGGGGCTGGTCTGTAAAGCACTCAGGACTCGGCCTGGTAGGCAGGGACCACTGGGTCCCTGCGGCTCTCAGTTGAGGGGAGCAGGAGTCCACACCGTGCAGGACAGATGTCTGCAGTGAAGGAAAGCCCTGAACCACTGCGTTAGTGCTGCTTCGCCAGTGCTAGGAACCTTCTAGCCAGAGTCCTACCTGCAACCAGCCAGCCCAGCTCACCCATGCAGGTCCTCGCTCAGTGAGAGAGGTCACGTATGCCCCAAGCACTCATGCGGCTGACGGCCGAGCGGCGCCGTCCCAGACCAGCCCCTGCTCAGGGCTGGACCCTTGCTCTCCCACCACTTCCCTCCTGTTCTACCTCGGGACAGCTCCACACTCACACAGCGCATGTCACCCCCAAACCTCCTGACAGCCAGGGGCAGAGGATGTGAGGGACAGGGACTCACCGTGCCCCCGACAGCCACCATGTCACCGCTGGGGTGCACTGCCACAACTTCGGGCTCGTAGCCTGGGTTGTCGATACTGAAGCACTTCTTCTGATCCTTGAGCAGGACGATCTGAAAATCATAGACGGCGGTCAGGGTGCCAAGGCCCGGGACAGGGTGCTGAGGCTGGGGACAGACCGCTCGGCCCAGCTACGGGCTCCGACCCGGAGCCTGCGGGAGGTGGGGGCCCTGTGACCCTGCATGGTACTTCCTCCCTCATCAGCCGTCAGGGACAGTGACTGTGCCTAGTCACAGAATCATAGTAAGGATGGGCTGCTGTCATCACCACGAGCACGGACTTCTCAGGAAGACACTGGACACCTGAACTTCCCTTCCTCTCATTACCCAGTAAACAAGCTTTGTGGGACGGCACCCTCATGAGGTTCTAGAGAACACAAGCGTTTCTTCACACAGTGAAGAACAAGGCTGTAAAGCAACACAGGGAATGAACAGTGCAGGATTCTAAGTTCTGGCTTTCCAGGTCTAAAGAAACCCCCTTTGCAGATCTTCCCCGTAGCACATAAAGCATCCTGTGTGCGCCCCTGTGAGCGTCTCCCACAGCTGGGGAGACGCTGTTGGTACCCGTCTTCCAGACAGAAAACAGGGTCCCAGGTGTGGGTGCTGAGAACGGACAGCAGAGCTGGGCCCCAGGTCCACAGAAGCTCCTTGCTCCCAACCAGCCTCCCACCAGAGCTCGCCTCGTCCCTGGAAGCAGGGTGGGAGGAGATGGTGATAGCAAGACGGCTGGAGGCACCCAGCCCACCGCGCCTATGCGGGCTTTCCCCAGCCAGCACCTGCTTGCTTCCCCCTGACTCCAGCTGGCGCAGGACAGGGTCCCCAGGCGGGGTTGAGGTGTGCCGGTGTCCAGACCCTATGAGGACCTGCACACAGACAAACTAGGGCATGATCCTCCCACAGCCGCATACTGCTTGTGGGGACAGCTTTGTCCTAAGCCTCAGCCTCCCTGGATAAAAAAAGTCCTTAATAAAAGCAAACAAAAATAGCAGCTAAATTCCACTTAGCGTGTGCCACATGCTAATAGTACTACACACACTCCGCCCCTGGAGATGACAGGATCACCGCCTCCCCCACCCCTGTAATGGAGGAGAAAACAAGGTACAGAGAGAATCACAGGCCCAAAACCTTACAACTCTCAAAACCAAGCTGGGACTCAGAATCCCTGGCTACCACCTGGTACCTTCTGCCCTCTGGTGCTCACAGAAGAGGCCCTCTGTGCCCTCCCCCAACGTGCCTCTCCCCCTCCTGCTCCTAGCTCACTGGACTACTCCCAGACAGCATGGCCTAGATTTGTGACAGCTCTGGCTTCATCCCATTGTACCCCTGCCCAAGCTACCAGCTGCCCCACAAAAGGCAGGCAGGCCCCCACCCCCACCCCCAGGCAGACAGGTGGCAGCACCCTTGATAAGATCTACTATTGAAAACGCAGGCTGAGAAACATTCGCCAGCCCCTTGGATGACTCAGGAAGTGGATTTACCCATCCGACAGCTAAGCACCAGGGGTACAAGCATTTGCTGCCACTTGCCTAAGAGGTGAGACGTGAACCTAGCTGTTTCCTGAGCTAAAATCACGGGCCCCTCCCAGCACATTCTGCTGACCCTCGGACCTGCAAGGAGGGGTTCTACAGAAGCCTCCTACCCAGGGCGGGCAGAGAGCCAGGGTAGCAGTGGCACATCACAGAACAATCGTGCACTCCTGCGCCGTGAGCCTTGGAGGGCCTTTCAGGACAGTAAACTGGGGCCCGAGACACGGAGCCTACCCCATGAAGAGGCAGCCCAGCCCCCGTGCTTCTAGAAGGCTGCCTTTCAGAGCCCCCCCAGCCCCCATGCTGCTATGGCTCTCCGCACACTCATTCCAACCGTTCCCCCACTGACCATCCAGGCTGCTGGCAGTAATTGCTTGGCAGAAGTTCCTGCTATCTAGGACACACACAAAACCAGCCTACCCGGAGCAATTAAGTGCACCGAATGGAGGAGGGGTGGCGGACCCTGCATGGCGGCTTTCTTCAGCAGGGTTGTCTCTCCTCCCATCAGGGGCTCGATCACACCTGCCCTCCCTGATCTATACCCGGAGATGCCCGGGTCTACTGACAGATGCCACCTCATTCGGAACAGTATGCTGTATGCAGTCAGTGGTCATGCCAGGGTCTCAGGCAAGGGCACTTCGTTCCAGAAATTCCAAAGGAAAGGTGTGGGGATGACCTGCCTTGAATGAGAACCCAGGCTGCAGAGCTGGGATTCCAAATCCCATTCTGGCCCTGGGTGCGCCCTGCCGTGTGGCCTTGGGGAAGTCACCAGATCACTGTCCACCTCAGCCTCGTTTACAAAAGGAACCTGCAAGGCTCCAAGGAGCCTCACGTGTACTTCCTCATAAGCCTCCCTGTGAGCTGTCAGGGAGCGGAAAACCAGAGCTCAGAGAAGGTGAGGAACATGCATGGAGTCACACAGCTCCGAGGCTCAGGGCTGGAAAGACAGCATTGCTCCTGCTGGGCCCCCAGCAGGCCCCAAGGGCTGACAGACACACAAGGAGGCTGATGCCTGACGGCTGCCTGGGTTCAAATCCCAGCTGTGCCCTCTGCCAGCTGCAGACCCCAAGCAAGAACTTACCCTCCCGGTGCCTGTTTCCTTATGTGTATAATGGGGAGGACCCTGTGCCTCCCAGACTGAGTGAACACACATGCAAGGGGTGCTCGGACAGACATGCATCAGAGCTCCCACCGAACAGGACGCCGGTGGAGGATACATGTCAGATGCGGCCGCCCGCCAGCAGCGTCCAGCTGCCCTGCCACTCCTTCCAGCCAAACTGAAGTGGACCGTACCTGCCCGATGCACACGACTACAGCGTAGCCTCCAGGGCCGACAGCCACGCACTTTGGTTGCACGTCCATCTTCACAACTCCCTGACCACTGGTGGAGACAAGGGAAAAGGCGTTACGTCCAGCTCACGGGGGCTCGGCGCTGCACACCCACAGCAACTCAGGGTTTAGCGAGTGGAGATTCTGCTCCATCCACACCGAGAGAGCCAGGTGCTAAAACCTAGGACCCATGAGAAAGGGCTCCCAGCTCCAGGGAAAGAGCGAAGAAATCCTGCAGGGGCTGGGGGTGGAGCGAAGAGGGGGCAGAGGAAGCGATGAAGTGGGGAAGGGGGGGGGCTCCTCTGCTGCTGTGGTGTGAGGGTTGTCCACCACCCCCCTGGGAAACCCCATCCCGATCTCGTCCTGTGTCCATCGGCCACACCCTGGCAATCCCTATGTGGAAAAGGAACTGAGCCCACCTCCTACTCCCATGGTCACAGCCACTCAGCTCAGTAGGGTGACACTTTGGAAGAATCAATGGTTTCACAGATGAAAATCATGTCTTCGTTTTTGGCTAATACCATGAAAACACGTTCTTGGAAAAATCTTACCCACACACATGTGCGTGTGCACACACGTGCAAACTTCTTGAAAATAGTAAACTAAGGAAAATCCCATGTGACTGGGCCAAGTGGGGGGGGTCCCCATGGCTCAGCCTCAGGGTCCCTGTCCTGTGAGGCAGTATGTGCAGTGGGAAGGCTTTCACGGGGGCTGTGCTAATGCAGGGTCGCCAGAGGGCAGCATGAAGAGGAAGGCCAGGGCCTGGTTACCAGGTTCTGGGACACTTTCTGCACTTTTCATGAAGCTTGACCAACTCATAATTAACGCCCAGTCTGGCCAGGCAAGTGAGGTCCATGCAGCACCTTAGTGAGGGCCGCCAACATGTCCTCCCCCATGCAGAGCTTTCTCTGCCCCTCTTGCCTCAAGCGAGGCAAGCCCAGGACAGGGGTCTGCGTACTGAGGACAGCAAGGGTGTGGGGGCTACAAGTGCCAGTCCGTACTTCCACGAGTTAGACCCTGCTCTCCGTCCTCCTCACTGTGCACAGGAAACTATAGATTATTTGCTAACAGCTACTACCCCAGCTCCAAAGATGGCCAATCCAAGGCACCGGAGCCAAGCCAAACCACACTGCCACTTCCGCGGATCACCTGGGTGCCTGTCTGTCCTTTAGAGCACCTGCCATGTGTCAGGAGCCTTTGAGGGCCGCGCCGGGCCTTCTCGTCCATCTCCTGTTACCTTCCTTTGCTGATGAGGAACAGAACAGGGAGGGCATGTGGGCTGAGATGCTCCGCCTGGCTTCCCAGGCAGAGGCTAGACTGAACACCATCCCCACGGGCCACCTGGACTCTAACCTGGCCCTGGCCCTGGCCCAGGGCCTGGCCACAGGAATAGTATTCGGGGGGGAGCAGTGAGAGGAGCAAAGTGCCCTCAAGAGCAGCACGCAGTGCAGGCAAAGGCCTCCTCTTCCAGGATATGCTCCCGCCCCCGGCCGCCCTCACCTGTAGTCCCTCAGCGTGAGATTGGTGTACCGCACTGTGTCATCCATGCTGCAGCTCACCAGCTGCCCAGACTCGTCCACCGTCATCCTGGACACCTGGTTCGTGTGGCCCTTCCCAGCAAAGGAGTCATTCTCCCCTGTCTCTGAATCCCAGTAATGTGGGGCGGGGGTTAAGGAAGAACAGTCTCCTGGACTCAGGGTAGGCCCCACCGGGAAGGCCTGGCCGTCCCGCATTCAGGGCAGCATATTTGGGACAGGACTGTGAGCACAGGGCCTGAGGGGAAGTCTACATGGCAAGTCTAGGTCCAAGTTCCAGAACAGATGTTCCGGTGAAGCTGCGAAACAGCCAGGCCATCAGTAGGCCGGAACTGGACCTCCTGCAGCAGTGCTGCACAAGGCCAAGGGAGCCAAGCAAGGAGGCGTGTGGATCCCTGCCAGCTAGGGGTACCCACGGATCACAAGCTGCCCATGATGGGCTCCTGTAGTGAGGAACAGCTGCTCACTGGGCGCTGCACAGCTGAACCCATGTTTACTCTGCTCTTTGTGGCGTGCTGTCAAGCTCACGACCGTCTGCAGGAGGCTGGCTGTCCCGCCCTGCTCAGTGGGTGCCAGCCAGGTGCTGCCAGGTAGCAGCCTGGAGCTGACGCACCCAGGCAGGGCTGGTTTACAGACTGAGTCGGAGGTGCTCAGGTAAGAGGGGTGTTTTAAGTGATGAGATTTTTCTTCCACAGAAACAACTGGCAATCTCCTTTCAAATGAAGATTCTTGTCGCCTTTTGAGAGCCACGGGCATGCTCCACTGAGGACATGTTCTTGTGACAGAGACCCCAGCACTTGATACCCAAGGACACATAAATGTCTGAGAGCATCAGAGGTCATGCCAGGGTGCACTGGCGCTGGAGTTGGGGAAGATCTGGAAGAGGAGGCATAGCGCCAGGAGGGGAGCCAAGGCAGGGCAGCTGAGATGGCATGACTGCAGACTGGCACGCCGCACCAGGAGGGGCAGATCGCAGAGCCTTCTCTGCCCCTTATGTTAATGCACCCCCCCATCCCCCCACACTCCCCTCCTTACATTTTATGGGTTAGAGAGGGACTTATCTGCCCTCCTACCCCAGGACTGCAGGGAGACCTCCCTAGCCTGGAGCTCTCTTGTGGAAACTGTGAAGCCCCACAGGGAAAAGTCAGCTCTGCAGAGATGAGAAACATGGGGTTCCTGGACAGCCCCTGCCAGGAGGTAAGAAGCATGTGGACTAGGACACGGTCCATACAGGTGCAGGCCTTTCACGCTGCTCCAGGGCCCCACTGTGGGCAGCAGAAGAGAACTGCTTGATGATGCACCTGTGGTGACTACCTGCACCCCACTCTACAGACAACAGTCCTGGGAGGAGGGGGGATACCAGCCCCAGGGGGCGCAAACACACAGTGGGGGCTTAGGGGCAGTTTCAGATGCCTCTAGGGAAAGTCTCTTGGGACCACAAATACCCCACCAGGAGAAGGGAGATGCAGGTCCCAGTCTCAGCTGCTGCCGACAAGTGGTGTGACTCTGGGGAAGGCACCTGAGCATGCTGAGCTTCTGTTCTCCATTTCTAAAATGGGGACAGTGCTGACAGGTTGTAGGTCCTACTGAATCCAGACTCCTGGCTCATGGCTTGTGAGCGGGACTGGGCAGTACTAGGGGCTCGGGCGGGAGCAGCAGCTCCCTTCAGAGTTGAACAGCCACCTACTGCTGCACAGGGAGAAGTGACCCAGCAGGTGGAGGCTGCAGCCTGGAGCCAGGGGCCCCCAGCATGGACACAGCGCGCCTGAGCAGCCGTGGCTGGTTGGAGCCCTGCTGCCGCCACCTGGCTGGCTGGGCTCCCAGCTCCATGGGGACAGAAAAGTCCCCTCTCTCCTGCCAGTGGCCCTGGAGCCAGCTCTGTGAGTCAAAGGATATTAATGTGTCCATCGTGGCTCCCGGAGTAGATATACGACTTGCCGCCGTTTTTGTGCACCGTCAGACACTGGATGGATTTGCTGTGACCCTGTGGAGACAGACGGACGGGGTGGCATGGGCTGAGAACATGCCATTCTGCCTCTGCGACCCGCTGACCGCCCTACATGGACTGTGCCTGGGGGGGGGGGGGGGGGAGACGAGGCAGAAGACCCTCAACACTGCGCCTGAGGTCAGTTCCAATACTGTGCTGCCCGCAGTGTGCCCGCAAACACCTTCCAGGAGCCATGGCCAGCTTTTCCCCAGCTGACCGAACCTCAGCATGCAGCCCTTCCCTCCTGGCTGGCTCTTCTCCGCAGGACACAGGGACTCCTGATAGCAGGGTGAGGGCCACTGTCCCAATCCCCGTGGCCCAAGGGCCTGAGCCCCTAGCCTCCTTCTGCTAAACTCACACATTCCAAAGCAACTGGCATCTTGCCCCTGACCAGACCCCCAGGGCCACCGGTGCCCCACTCAGCCTCACGCAGGTTCTCCCCTTCCCTTGCTGGGTGTGCACCTCTTTCTGCCAGCCCCTCCAGGCAGAGCCGCTGCCCGGCGCAGCCTTACCTTAATGACCCGCAGGGGCTTGCTGGGGTTGTTCTTGTCCAGGTAATTGATGTACCCAGACAGGGAGATGCTGAGGAGGTGGTCCTTCTGCCACAAGCAGCCCAGCTGCTGGTCCAGAACGGTGGAGCCCATTGTAAACGTATTGACGACAGAGTTCACATTGACGTCCCAGATCTTAGAGGTTTTGTCTCCGGAAGCAGAGAGCAAATGGGTGCTATCAGGGCTCCAACTGATCTACTCAAATGAAACCATGGGCTACATGTCAGCGAGCACAGAGCGGGAAGGGGCTTCTGAAAGCAGCCCACCCCACCCACCACCTCCATTTCTGAGCAGGGAGAAGCCAAGCCCAGGAGGGACCCGGGGGGACCGGTGTCCAGGTGCCGGCTCCTACCGCTGGCTTCTCGAGGCCACAACACCCTTTCTGTGTGCCCCTGAAGCGCTCTCCCACCGCCCCTACCTCAATGCCCCTCACACTTCACGCTTTTAATCTCCCAAGTTGTGAGCCAACAACTGCAAACATGGCCTCGGCCCCGCCAGTCACAGACAGTCCCACAACACAGATCCGTACTCACAGCGTAAATGCCTCCGTCATGAGCCTTGTCTCCTCCCAGGGCACACACTTTCTCTCCTGTCTTTCCGTCGTAGATGTAGATCTTTCAAGGAATAACACACATGTGGGTCACAGGTGGGAGGATGCTCTCACCAGCTGGCACTCGAAATGAGCTCTTCCTTGTCCCTGGCTCTACCGTCAAGAATTTGCTACTGTGACTCTTAAAAAAGGAATCTGAAATACGTGCTAACAGGCGGAGTTTCCAGCTCCATTTAAAAGGAGAGAAATGGAAAGGGGTCCCCCACGCTGTGATGACACAGCCCAGGAACCGAGCGCTTCCAGGAGGGGGATGAGGGGAGAGTCCTAGTCCCTCCTGGGAGGTCTGTCTGCCTGGAACAGCTGGGAGGCGGTCAGATGAGCCCCCACTGCACCGGGCCCCGGGCCTCACCTGGCCATCTGCACTGGCCGTGGCAAATCTGTTCCCATCAGGAGAGAATCGCACACAGTTGACAAAGCGGTTGTGGTCCTGCAGGAAAGCGTATGCCTAAGGTTATTCACCTGATGACAGGAGGTTCTAGGAGTTTCCTTATGAAATATGCAGTCTGCTTCAAACATCTGCTCCGGCTGCCAATGTGAAGTGTGAGTCCATGGGAAGACCTCCGAGTTTCACTACACAGCCCGAGGCGGCTCCTGACTCACTGGGAGGTCTGCTTCAGCCTGCCTGCCTTGGCCCAGGCCCATCTGTGCCAGGAGGCTGTCCCCCCGCTAGGCCTCCCCTCCCCACGCTTGGTCGCTATGCTGGGTTCCCCTCATCCTCATCCCCAGCCCAGAACCCTAGGCCTCTTCCCTGAGTCTCCGAGCCAACACACAGTAGGTGCCCAGTGGGATCAGGATGGAGCAGACCTAAGGGAGGTTCCGAAGAAATTAAACAATGGTCTTGCATTTTCAGGGAATAAGACTCCAAATGATCTCCAGGAATGATTCCCTTTCCCAAATAAGTAAATTCACTTTCCTCCATCAAGGGTTTGCCTAAGAAAATATCCTCTAAACACTCCCCCGCCCCCTTCCCCACCTGCAAGCCCCCTTTAGCAAACTACTGACTCTCCTCAAGGTAGGAAGGGCCAAGGGCTTCGGCAGGTATCAACACCTAACCTCAGGAAGACCACCGCCGCCCATCCCCTGCCCACACCTCACCCTCCAAGACCAAGCACTGAGCGAAAATCAGAAGCTGCTCTCAGGAAGGCTTACACCTGTCTGGGTCATGTTCGAGGCGGAATCGTGAAGTGGTGCTAACCTGTGCACAGAAACCTCCTTAGGAAAGAGGGTCTGTGCAGATGCAATCGAGTTACAGTGAGGTCTGTAGGGCGGCCCTGATGCAATGATTGGTGTGGGACACAATGCAATTGTGTCCCAACTGAGGGGGATCAAAACAGACACAGGCAGGGGGTGGGGAGGGAAGAGCATGTAAAGATGGAGGAGACCAGGGAAAAGAATCTAGGAGTCAGGGGAACACAAGCCTGCTAACACCTGATCTCAGGCTCTGGCTTCCAGAATCGGGAATAATTTCCCAATGAAGCCCCTGGTCTGTAGTACTCTGTTATGGCGGCCCCAGGACACTAACAGGTAAACACATCATCTGTAGCGCTCCTGTAATAACAACCCTCCAAGGACACTATGCTCGCTGCACTGGTGAAGACACCCAGGCCAGGAAGGAGAAATGGGGGCCAGGACCCTAAGGAGGTGAGCCACAGAGCCAGGATCAGAGGAATCCATGTGTCTGCAGAGGTCCACCGGGAGGGGGAGCAGAACAGTCATCCCTAAGTTGGAGTTTCCCTGGTGTAGGTAGCTCTGGTCCCGTGGAACCACGAGACTGCCATCTCTACCCGCTGACACTTCTAGGCCAGGCACCTTGGGCCCCACGGCAATTGGTCCAGAGCTGGTGCACAAAGCCAGCCCCGCATCCGGCTCTTCAGCAATCCCATCACTTCCCTCAGCTGACAAGGCCAGAAGCAGCTAACGCTTCATGTCATTCAGAGGGATCCCTGCAGGGGCAGACACAGAAAAGCCTGAGCACTCTGAGCCCCGTGACACTGGTGGCTTTCTGTCCTGCCTCCTCTAAGCGAGCACTGTTGTGGGGCTGAACCGTGCTCTGACTGAAGAGCCTGTCCTCTGGGGCATTGTCATCAGTGCCTGTGACAGAGATGGGGGGGGGGGGTGCCTAGTGGCTTCAGCCTGAATGTGGCCCTGGTTTTGTGACCACTGCGAACAGTCCTGTTACTAACAGGCCACCCACCTGCCTCCCAGGGCCCAGCCTCAACCAGGCCAGGTCTGTAGGGTGACAGCAAGGCCACGGACCTGAGCTTCTGGCTGTGCTCATCTGTGTCAAGGCTGACCTTCCCTGCCTGAGGTGTTGTGCTCCATGTTTCACAGCAGGTGCAATCCACCAATCCAAACCACAGTGGAACGGATCTGCTTTCAAAACCAGGATCTCTCAAGCCCTCCTGACTGTCTGCTTCCACCACTGCCCCAGTCACCCATCACCTTACTGCTGCACAAGCCTTGGGGAGCCTCCAGGCTCCTCCTAGGAGACAACCAGGGTCAGAGAGAACCTGAGTCTCGTTTCTCTTCCAGAACTCTCGACTCGACTACACTGCCTCTGGGGCCTGGGCAGGCCGGGCGCCTTGTGGCAGAGCCACCCAGGTCCAATCCTTACTGGTCAAATGCAAATACCACCGTGGTAGCATCCACCCAAGGCTACAAGGGAGCTGGCCACAGCTGACCCAGGGAAGTAGGGATCCTATCCCCAAGAACTGGGATGCCCAAAGAATACACAACAGATGGAGCAGATCATCTCACTCCAGTTTTGCTGCTTCCCTGGCTTCAGGAATGTTCCTATACCCCAAGCCCAGCTCACAAGTTAGGATGCCCTCCTGAAGAGACCCAAGCCCGGCACCTGCCCACAACCACCCAGTGGCCAGAATAATCCCATTATGATACTGCTGTCTCTCCTCAGAAAGGCCTTCTCCCCTGATCATCTGCCTCCATCTCTCTGGATCTGGTTCCTCACAGTACTCAGCATCCCTGACATTTTAGGGAGCATTGCGTATGATGGGTTTGTGGCCATCCTCTGCTGAAACATGGCATGGCCCTCCTCAGGCCCCGAACAAGGCAGCCTTTTGGGCAAGCCTGGGTTTGGTGAGGGCCAGAAACAGCAGATGCGCCCCTCCCCCCTGGGACTAGGTGCTATGTGAACCCAAGGTCTCTGGCTTTAGAAACTCCTCTCCGTCAGCTTTTCCCGCAGCTTGAGCCAAGAGTCCAAATGAGCAGGAAACTACTGTCTGCTCCTGAAATAGCCCACTTAAAGGGAAACAGCTGGGAACAGCCCATTAACCAAAAAAGTGAGGGCTAAAAATAGCCTATTCCACAGGGAGGTGAGGCCTGAGTACAAAGAAGGAAGGGTCTGGGGGGTAAGGTACAGGGAGGGTCCAGACACATGCCAGGCTTCCTCTGGTGGCCCAGCCCAGCCACCACCCACTGAGCTAGGGCTCACAGCCCCTGGCCCTTCTCATGCTCCCTGGAAGAGTCACAGCACCACCCTGCAGGCCATCCCCCGATGTGGAAGGCCCTCGGTTTCTGGTCCACACCTGCCCTCCCATCAGTCACAGCCGACAAGAGCTCTGGCGGGGACCGAGTCAGTGGATCCTCCCTAGAACCCCCTGCTGTCACTATCCCTCCCCCATCATCACCTGACCCACAGTCACCCCTTCCTGACACTGAGAACAGAGTCCTGAAGCCATTAGGTAATAAGTAGTGTACCTGAGCCCATGTCACGGATAGGGTCAGAGCACCACTGGGCTCCATGGCCTGACTCCAGCGAGCACAGGCAGACGAGCTGGTGTCAGCTCAGGTGTCCCCTCTGGGAGCCCTCCCTGGTTTCACTGGCCTCAGCTGTCCCCTGAATGTACAATTGCTATTAACATACTGAAATGCCCTGCCCACCTGTCTTATTCCCTGTCATGAGTTCACGGAGGGAGAAACAGGCTCCCATGTCTGTGTGCACCTCCTCATCCTCCCTGAGCTCAGCACAAGCTCCATAGTTGGTGCTCTGAAAATGGGTTCCCGTCTTCACCTGAAACGGCCTCACCTTCCTTCAGAGGACGGTCCCCTCCACACCTGGCTTCGCCCTCACTCTGTGAAGTCTTCCCCGTAAGGGGCTTGGAGGGGTAGCAACACATCCTTCGTCTGCTTCAGCTTGGCTGAGAAGCACAGAAGTGACCCCCCTCCTCTGCCTGCCTCTTTTGCCACCCTGGACAGGCCAGTTCAGCTACCACTTTGCTCTAGAGAAAGGGACAGGAAGCTTGTCCATGTGAGCTTGGCCAGGCCACTCCCCTGCCGTCAGCCACAACCTGCTGAGGAGGAGACCTGCCCTGCCAACCCCCAGAATGACAGCACTAATGCACCCATGGCTCTCTGAACAGCAAGACCAGCAGATGCAAGGGTGGAAGGCAGAATGGCTAAGGATGAGGCAGGGTATTGTGTGGGCCCCATCCGGGGTCAGGACAAAGCAGGCACCTGATACAATTTGAAGGAACGACATTGCTGCTTCTGCCCCGTTGTGAGTCAGGAAACAGGAAAAATAGGACCAGAAAATCCTGCGTATCAGAGCTCCAATTTTAATTAACTGTCTAGAAAGGCAATGCCTCTAATGATAGCCAAGACGGATTTCTAGCTAAACTCACCTCCGCTGTGTAGAAGGAAGTGGGGCACCCCCACCTAGAGCCACCTGTGATAGGTGAGAGCACGTAGGTGGCAGGGGACAGCCACTCCGGGAGCAGCCGACCACACCACACAGCACGCCTGGGTGGAGAGGACACACCAGGTGTCCCCGCTGCCATAGGTGTGCTCAGTCTGCTCTCACAAATACAGACTGGAAGTTTCCACTTTCAGATCACACAGCCATAGACTGGACAAACGGGCCCTAAGTAATTGAGTGCCGACTGAGCAATCGTTGAATGAGACAAACTATCCTATTGACCGTAACACCTGGCTGTGGGACAGGACACAGTCTTCCCAAGGGCCTGCTCCATAAGGGGCGTCCACGATCAGTCCCAGCAGCCAACCTGCTCGGCCGACAGAAGAGGAAGCACAAGGCCAGAGGAGGTTGGGTCCAATGCCCCCGAGGGCTAGGTGCACACACAGACAAGGCGGGCAAGCTAGCCAAGCATCTGTTGCAGGGCCGAGAGAGGCAAGGAGAAATTCTTGCTGCAGAAGCAGGAGTAGGTAAGGGCCTACCTGCCGCTTTTTTCTCAGGTCCCCCAAGGGACCTTGTCCACAGAATGCTAGAGGCAGACAGAGGCAGTGAGGCCCAAAGTCTCCATGCCATATGGTCTCCTATGAACCTTGGAAGCCACCTCCCCAGGTGGCCCACGGCATCTGTAACGTGGGTGGGCCGGGGCCTATTCCGTGTAAAGGGTCCTCCATCCCATCTTCCTGCAGCCTCTTGAGCCCACAGCACATTTAGGCAAAAGGAAAACTAACACTAATTGACCGCCTGAGGGCCTAGCAGAGTCTGGGTGAAGCTGATCCATGACTCAGCTCTGGAGGAACCAGAAGTCTACGCTCACTCTGCACCACGTGAGCAGCCGGTTTAAGCCAGTAAACTCTAGAATAAAAAAGAAAAGCAATTCGACCCCCACTCAGGCTAGCAGGACGGACAAGTGGGTCTGACTTGAGAATGTATGGTCACTCTGGTTTGTCTGAAATAGTGCTTTCACTTCCCCTTGGGTACTTGCACCACCACTGTTTTACTTTAGCATGTACTGAACTTGAGAGCACAATTTACTCTTTTTCAAGGCAACAATTTGAGGGCAACCCCTCTGTGCTCCGGACATGCTCACCCCTTATCTCACGGTGTTAAACACGGTCAAAGGAAGACAGCGAGGAGCTGGAGCCTAGACAGGCAGGCAGCCAGCCATCCACTACAGCTGTACCCTGGGGTTTCCAGGGTCCAGGGCAGATATATGTGGGTAAGTCAGACTGATCCACACGGTTGTCAACAATTTACAAGGCATTGTGGGTTGGTGTGGGGGGCCCCGAGTGTTCTCCCATCCATTACACACTGGCCAACTGAGTCTGTTAGAATCTTCTCTGACAGAAGCCCAGAGAACTCCCCATGGACACTCAGACGTTCACCAGCATCTCACATCTTCCCACAGCTCTGTGGGGCCATAGGGGGAGGGCCATCACTGTCCCATCTCCTGAGGGGTCCAGACACACCACTAGCCCATCCAGGGGTCACAGAGACAGTTGCAGCGCTGGGCTGCCACCCAGTGTCCCCCACTCCTGGTCTGCAGCCAAGTCCTTACACAAGACCCATGGGTGACAGGCTCCACAGGCAGGCTTGAGGGCAAGGCTGTGTGCCCATCCTCGACACAGGTGCCAGTCTGTACCTGACACCCCTGGGCCGTGCTCTCATGTTGGAAAGGAAGCCAGAAAGAGAAAGAATATTCCGGCTAAGTTCCCAGGAGAGCACAAGAAGAAGGCTGACAGTATGGTGAAGTGACAGGCTTTCGCTGACTGAACTCAAACCTGGCTCTGCTTACTTGCCACTGAGCTTGCTCTGTGCCGGGCTCGGCCTACATTTGCTAAGAGGAAGTGATCTTCCTCTTCCCCCAGGGTGGGGGTTCGAGCCCCACCGGCCTATGGCCCAGATAAACCACGTGAAATCAAACAGTTGGGGGGGGGGGCGGAGACAGCCTCCTATTGCCACAGAAATGTCCTATCTCCCTCCTCCTCCCTCTCCTGGGTGCCAGGCAGGCTGTTCAGTTATCTAACTCATCCCACAGTACCTCTAACCTGCACTTAGTAAATACTGACCTTGAACCACAGCCTTGGACAAAACCCTCACCGCCCACCACCTGGGCAGCAGCCACAAGAACCACGGCAAAAGGACCTCCGAGCTGCACAGCCCGCAGGGCACAGAAAACTTGGCTGTGCTTCCCACGCAGCCAGCCTGGCCCTGGCTCAGGGGCCCTGGGGATGGAATGGAGTCTGTTTCACTACCAGCAGGGGACCCCGCAGAGCCCTGCTGTACCTGAGCTGAGGTGTGCACTGGAAATTCTGCCCACGGCCCGAGTGCTACCCTGTGGGGACCTGCTCAGGAAGTGGCATCATCCTTTCCAGCCACACCCTGCCCTCGGTTTATGAATCACTGCATTCAATCGTCCAAGTAAACAGTCCCTACTGAGTCACTTTAAGGACATTTTCTCATTTAATCCTTGATGAGGTAGGACAGGGAATGGCTCTGGACCCGTAGGCAGCCCTGTGCAGTTAAGTTCATGGTTAAAATGCACTAATATCGATGTCCCCCACACCCACCTTGTAGATGGGAAAAGTGAGGCTGAGGTTGACCTTTAATCCAACCAGGGAGGAGGTTCAGAGCTGGGACACTCTTCTAAGGCGTCTTCTACAGGCAAAGCATCTAACTCTCCACATTGCATGTCACATTCCAGCTGTGACCCTGCTCTCATCATCTCACCAGAGGAGACAAGTCCAGGTGTCCCTGGAAGCTCACCAGCTCCACCACTGGGGAGGCTCAGCAGGTCTCTAGTTGGCGGAGCCAAGCCTGGGTTACCCCTTTCTAACAAAGGCTCTTCTAGGCCAGGATGCTCTCCTGATCACAGGGCATCAGAGATGCACCTTCCCTGCAACCCCAGAAACACAAAGGTCTCCCAGGGTGGGCCCCTCCCTGCTGAAAGCACCCTTGTTGGCCTGTGCACAGGGCCACATCGGCCGGGGGCTAGTGTGCTGTCCCCCCATCACCTGAAGCTCCCCTATAAACTCCACTTCCATCCACACATTCACAGCATCAATGGCACGTGCCCACAACCCTGCCATCGGTATCTGCAGGCCTAGACTGCTGGTTTCACATGCAAACCACCCCAGGGGGCAGTCCACTTACGCCAATTGTAAACTTGAACTTGAATGGTGGCCCCTCAAAGAATGCGGCACAGTTATCATCACTGCCCGTGGCCAGCCGATACGGTCTGCTCTGCTTGATGTCCACGCTATTGATGACCTTGTTGTGTCCTGTGATCTCGCCCACGGAAGAACCACTGTCCCATAGGAAGACGGCTCCAAACCTGTACCCAAAGAGAGGACCACATAAAGAAAACAATCAGTGCTGGGAGTGATGGGGGAGATGTGGGCTGCCGAATGGCCAAAGCCTGGGGGTGGAGAGGGGAGACCCACCACAGCTGCGGCTGGACACACCGTGGTTTCGGCTATGTGCCGTATCTGTCAAAGAATCCGAGCACGGGCGCCCCTGGCAGGGACTGGACGTCTGCGTCTATGTGGTCCACGGCCAACAAGCCTCCCATGTGGACAGTCCCCTACAGACACTTGCCAGGGCTTATCAATTTCCTAACGGTTTCATTGGGCAGTATTTACAAGCTGCCATCGCTCTGAGAAAGGAGAGGATACCTTGCTGTCAGCAGACACCCAATGAAAATGTACTGCGGGGGTTACTTTGTGACTGAATGAAAACGAATTGGTTGGACCAGATGACCTGGAAACAGTGGAAGAACTGCCACCTGCAGGAGCACACAGTAAAAATAGCCTCTGAGTAAGGGAAACAAGGTGTGTGCCTGCCAGGTCCAAGTGTTTGCCACAGCCGTAGTGCCCTGGAGGGGCCCTGACCCGTGGTACTGACCCTGCTTGTCACTGGACCCGAGTACAGCCACTGCCGAGGGCCACCCTACCCTGTCTCCACTTGTCCCCTTTTCCTATGTAAGGTTGCACCACCTTTGGGGACGTGCCCAAACCCCTTGCAGGCATGTGTGGCTGTGTGGTCTGCTGGGAGGGACCCCAAGGATGTTCTTCAGGCTCCCTCCCACTTTCTCCCTTCCTGCTGACTGGAGCGTGAATGTTCCAGGAGGTGAGGAACCAAGGATGTCAGAGACAGAGAGGGAATGTGCCTGGGCCCCAAGAGGCCAGGCCCCGTGGGAATGCACACACACTTGTCCAGGTCCAGGCTGGCACGGGTATCACTGTTCCCCTCCCAGCCAGGACACCCAGGAGGAAAGCAAAGACAAAACACGCGGGCAGGGACGGGCCAAGGCCAGAGACTCACTTCTCCCTTCCTTCCCCGACCACTGCGATCCTCTTACTGTCTTCTGTCCAAGCAATGTCCTTGATCTTCCCAGCAAAAGGCTGATACTCATACTTTAAGAGGTGCTCCTTCTGCGTGGTATCCCAGATCCTCAGCTTTCCAGATACATCTGTGGACACAACAGGGTGGCGAGAGCCAGGTTCATCACTGGGCCAGGGCCGTGTGGGCACAAAGCACACCCACACAGCGCGGTCCAGGGGTTCACAGGCTTGCTGGAGTTACCCCACGCTGCAGCTGGGAAGAGGAACCTGTTTCAGGTAAGCAAAATGTACCACTGGTCAAGCAGAGCCTGTGGCCTCTGTGAGGACCACTTCTGGGCCTCTGCAGTTCACCAGCCATCAGCTGAATGGCGAGCCCTGTGCGGGATCAGAAAGCCAAGACACACCAAGGCACACCCCAAGGCATCAGGAAGCAGTCTGGTTCTAAAATGCTAGTAATCTCAAGGGGGGATCAAAATGGTAGAAGGGCCTTGGGCAGCTTTCTTAAGGTCTGGGACTGAAGTTCTTTGTTTGCCAAATGTGACGACAATACTAGTGACAGCTGCCTCTCCAGCGCAGTGGCTGAGCTAACAAGGAGCAGAGCTGTGTGTGGCTGGCGCGGGCCATGATTTGCATGCAGCCCCCACCTGGGCTCCCCTCCAGCGCCTTGTCTGCACCCTCCCGCTGGCACCCCCGCATCTACAGCATCTAGGGCAAGGCGCATCCCACAGCCCAGATGACTGAGGTGTGAGCAGGATCCTTGTGTGAGGCACGCCAGGAGGGTGGTACTACAGGCAGATCAGAAGCCAGGCCTCTCCTCCGGGATTAGTAATAAAGGAACTAATAAAGGAAAGGGATGGGGACGGAGAGGCACACCCTTCCCTTCCCAGCAGGATCCTGTCACCAAGATCTGAAACAAAACCCAACATAGCCCTTTCCAAATTAGCATGAGGATGGAGGATTTTACACTAACTCCTCAGGCCAGACTGGGTCTGGGGACAAGTCCTCGCAGTAGGTAGGCTCCCGTGGGTTCCCAGGATCCCCAGGCCCACTTTAGCACAGAACAGCTTCTGTCTTCCCATCCAGGCCGCAGAGCTGAGGGAGGAGACAAAGGCTGCAGGGCCCTCCACGGGTGGCAAGCACCACCTTACCCCTACAACTGCACCTACCAGAGGAGAAACGACAGTGCCACCTGGGGTGGGGGTGGTGGACTGCTGCAGAGAAGGGAACACGAGTTAGCATATGTGCAGTCTCAGCCTAGCACTTGGTTATGCTGTGGGTGCTCGCTGCAAGCTGGCCATTGCTCTGCAGGCCACCCGAGACCCGGACTCACCCAGGGGAGACTGACTGCCATGTGAGGAGCACTACCTGAGGGGCCCCGGGGGCCCTCGGCCTCTCCAGGTGAGGTCCAAGAAGGCTGCCTGATGGAAGTGAGTTCCAAAGATGACCTGGAACTAGGTAAGTCCCTAACAAACAGGCCAGTGGGAAAGGACAGGAAGAGGCAGAGGCTAGAGCATCAGAAAAGGAGCAGCACTGTGTGTGTGCAGGAAGGACACACGTGTACACGCGGTTTTGTGCTCACACTCACGCACACATTAGGCCGTGTGGTCAGCCAGGCTCAGGCTGGTCCAAGGGGCTCTACAGCCCGGCGGAATCAGCATCCACAGCTCAGGCTGACGGGGTCCCACCCTCCTGGACAGGACGGAGCCAGCTTTCCTGCCTCCCTGGGCCCCTGCCAGCCACTTCCTGCTCCTCAGGGCTGCTCAGGCTCCTCTCCAGGCTGGCACCAGTCATCTTCCCACTGCCTCCCCGGGTGGGCCCTGCTTGCCCCATGAACCCTTCGGAGGAGGGCTGACAATGGCCCATACTTTCAGGTGTACAACTTAGTGACTCGCCAGGCTGATACATTACGCTGTGCACAGAGCAGGTGTAACTGCCATCTGACCCGATGTATCTCCCGACTGTGTTCCCCATCCTGCGCCCTGTATCCCCAGGCTCCCTCATCCCATTCCTGGAAGCCCGTGTCTCTCTCCCTCCTTCCGCCCCTCCCTGCTGGCAACCACCCGTGTGTTCTCTGTATTTATAGTCTGATTCTGCTTTTGTTTGTTCTTTTTCCTTTCTTAGATTCCACTCCTAAGTGAAATCATACAGTCTTTGCGTTTCCCAGTCTATTTTACTTTAATACCCTCTAGGGTCTCCCATGGTGTCTGGGATGGCACGATCATCCTCCTTTAAGACTGCATCACGATGCAATGAAACGCCGGGACACCTGCACCCCGATGTTTCTAGCAGCCATGTCCACAATAGCCAAACTGTGGAAGGAGCCTCGGTGCCCATCGAAAGATGAATGGATAAAGATGTGGTCTATGTATACAATGGAATATTACTCAGCCATTAGAAATGACAAATACCCACCATTTGCTTCAACGTGGATGGAACTGGAGGGTATTATGCTGAGTGAAGTAAGTCAATCGGAGAAGGACAAACAGTGTATGTTCTCATTCATTTGGGGAATATGAATAATAGTGAAGGGGAATATAAGGGAAGGGAGAAGAAATGTGTGGGAGATATCAGAAAGGGACACAGAACATAAAGACTTCTAACTCTGGGAAATGAACTAGGGGTGGTGGAAGGGGAGGAGGGCGGGGGGTGGGGGTGAATGGGTGACGGGCACGGAGGGGGACACTTGACGGGATGGGCACTGGGTGTTATTCTGTATGTTGGTAAATTGAACACCAATAAAAATTAATTTATAAAAAAAAAAAAGACTGCATCACGATTCTATCGTATACATATGCGCAGTTTCTGTATCCGTTCATCTATTCAGGGACACTTAGGTTGCTTTTATACACTTTATTCTTTTTGGAAGCAGCTGGGGCCAGAAAGAAAGTGGGGCTTGGAGACCAGGCACTTGGGCCCCGATGAGGATGGCAGCCCCCATGCAGTCACAATACAGACTAGGTGCCCACGGGTGCCAAGGCCCGTGCTAAGTGCGGGGGATATAACAAAGACACCTGCCCGGGGCCAGAGACAACGGGGACAAAGTACCTTCTGTCCACCGCTGGGAAGGCATCTCCCCCTCCAGATAATACACTGCCCCAAGGCGAAAGGTTTGGGTGAGCCTGCCCCCTCTCCTCAGCAGCTTAGCAACATGGTGGGGTAGCAATGGGGAGCAGCGAGCGAGATGGGCCTTACAGTGCCTGCTGAGGCCTCTGCTCTTCAGCTCCGCAGCCTGGTCTCTCCTCTACGTTCCTCACCTGAGCAACCCTTAACTACCCCCCAGCCCCCCGCCTCTAGGAAATCTGCCATTCTACAGCCTGGGTGCACTACTCTGAGGGCAGCCTGGGACTCACAGCCCTGGTGGGTGCCCAAGGGACTGAGCGTGCGGCATAGACCACTAGCACAGAAGACAGGGCTAGAAAAAGGGAATTATATGTGCCCTGGAAATGGCTCTGCATGAGACAACAGGGTACCATGGGCCATGTCAATCCAAGGGCAAAGACTGACCACTTTGTTCAGGGCTGGGGGCCTAGCCCCTGGCATGGACTTCTCACACAGCAGGCCTTCTGGAAGGTTCCATCATTCAGTACAGACACCGACCATCAGACTTACAGGAATCTAAAGGTCCCACAGAGGGCTGGAACCCCAAATGGGAGCAAGCCACAGGCCTCCAGAGGTGGGACTCCCACCTCAACCCCAGGGGAACCCCAGGTAACAGGTAACCCACTTAGCCAGAGAGCATAGCACTTTCTCAGCCTCCCTCCTTTCACTCCAAACCCTACACAATCACACTATTTTTAGCCCAGGACCTAATCCCTGCAGTGAAGGTTGGTCTTCATTCAATTCAAAGGACCAGCTAGAAACATAATTATGATCTCTGCATGCAGCCCAAACCTCCCTCAGTTCCTCTACCAAATCGGTGCTTTCATGAGAAAAAAAATGTCAAACTGATCCTTTACTTATGTGAATAGCCCTTTGTAATGGTCTCTGTGCCAGCCTGCCTCATTGATTTAGCATTAGGATGTGAAGAGCCCAGATTTCTGGTAGATGGAGCACCGTGCCCTGGGATGCAGGAGTGCAGGCCTGGGCTCCCAAGTGATTCAGCAGCCGGGCCTGCAGCTCCAAGTGCCAGGGCAGAGAAGCTACGCCAAACAGGCAGCGGGGCCCTCGCCAACCACACTTCTCTTAAGAGAAGACATAATTTTAAAAGGAACCAAGGCCACGTCTTGGGGCTTTCAAGGAAAAGGTATTTTGCTGGCATGCGGGGCCGGAAAAAAAAAATACGCAGCTAAAATGAATCAAGGCATATAAATTAGAGCAAGTTTTACAGGTGGAGTTGGAGTAGATCTAAACACCAACATCATTAAGTACCCACTTTGGGCCAGACTCTCAGCCAAGCCCATCACACACAACCCTGACTGCCTGCTTTAGCCAGCAGCCAGCATAGCATCCTGTCTCCCTGGCATGTCCTGGGTTTAGTGGAAGACACTTTGATCACCCGCTGTCAGTTGCCACCAGCACAAGACCCTCCTAGGCATTCTGTATACGCTGCCGCTCTGGAACCTCTGTCCGGCTTCTGGGAGACCCAGGAAGGTAAGTTCTTCAAGGAAGGCCAAGCAGTAAGGGACGTACCCTCCAGGGGTATGCCTCCCAGTGCCTCCCAAGCAGGGAGGGACAAATGGTAGGACAGACCAGCCCCTCCGGCATATGAATCCCAGCCCTCCTCTCTCGGCAGGATATTAGTTCTCTCAGCAATTCATTCCTCTCTGGGGAGGCTGACAAGGCCCAGGCCCGCCAGAGACAGGGCCGGGCACCGGCAAAGCAGCAAGTATCTGTTGAGCGCGTGAATGAATGAATGGGTGAATAAATGGGAGGCACCGGTAAGCCGCGCTAACTTCGGTGATTCCTGGCTCTCATCTGTAAATGGTAACACATCTACCTCAAAGAAGTGGGTGAACAAAGCATCCAACGTGGTAAAGATCTTTGTGTCCCTCCTCCTAGCCAGCCTCCCACAGAGCCACACAAAAGCCAGGCTAGAGAGAGCAAAGGCCCAGACCAGAGTGAAATGGAGCGCTTGCCTGAGGCCAGCATTGACAGGGACTGCGAAAGGAGCAGCTAATGAATAAAGGTGACACCAGACAAAGCCACAATTCAGAAAACACGCGTGCGCACACACACACAAAATGAGCTCTCAAACATCATGGTACAGCTACCCGTGAAGGCCCCTGGCCAACCTCACAGGAGCATTTCTGCTGACCTCTGAGTTGGAAGCAGCTGGAACGCCGCCAATGACAAAGTTCTGCAATGGGGCTCTTTGGCGGCTTATGTGCTTTCCTGTCAGCCTCAAATGAAACTAATCACTGGCTCCACCTGCTGCAACCCCCCCATTCCTCTATCCTCCCCGCCCCCCACTCCTCTTCCCTCCCTCTCCACCTCCCACCACCGGACAAGCCAGGAGCCGGGTTTGGTCTGGGAGGGACTGTTGGGCCACATCACACGCATCCGTGAGCCACGCACGCACACAGGTACCTCCAGAGGCGATGTAGAACCCGCTGGGTGCATACTTGGCCACCACCACCTGATGGGCATGCTCCGTGTAGATGTCAGCAAGGGCTGGGTTCTGCAGGGAGGAGACCAGAATGAACACAAGAACAGAGAAGCAGTCTATTGCCTCCCACTCTCCCGATCAGTGGATCTGGGGGCTAAAATTAACACACACGCACGCACTTAAGTCAAAACCTCCGTAAAGAAAAATCCCAGCGGTACGACTACCTGCCCACGCACCTGCCGCCTGCCTGCCTATCTTTGGGTCATAGAAATCTACGGTGTTCTAACTCTTTCTCTTTAGTTTACGGCTGTCATGAACTTGAGAGGATGGTCTTTTGCTTTTCTGCCCTTGACATGGCACAAATGCGTGTGAATTACGTATCTGTGAAGTACACACATGAAGTTTCACTGCAAAAAAGTCTACTCTTCTACGTTTCTCTATGGGAAGCTTCCAGTTGCGGCTGCTTTCTTGAGTCACCTGTGTGTGGTCTCCCTGTTCAGAAGCAGCTCCGCCCCAGCTGCCAAGCCGCGCACAGCCTGAAGGGGAGGCCTGGCTTTGAGCTCCAGCAGCAAGCACGGTGGGGCGTGGGGCTGGGAGCCTCCCCTTGTCCCAACCTTTGCCGGGAAATGTGGACTTCCTACTCGCTTTGTAGCACAGATGGAAGGTTGGCTGGACTCACAGCAAAAACAAGGCCAGCATCTGGGACTAGAAGCACCGTCGCTACTCAGTGAGAAGGTTTTAACATCTAATTTACTAAAAGTAGATTGTGGCGCCCCCACTTCTACACACAGTCGAGTGGCCTCAGCAAACCTGAAACACACATACTGAGATGCCTCTCAATTTGTCTCTACAGCCGGGCTTTCTTGAGGAGGGAATAAAGAGTCGGCTTTCTATGCTCCTGAAAGAGGCAGCTTCCCACAGGCTGGAGGCTAAGGGCACATCAGGTCCCTGGGTGGACACCCAGCTTTTCAGAGGCAGCTGCTGCAGGCACATCTAGCCTGACCCTCAACTGTCCTCACCTGTCCCCAACCTGACCACAAGATCAGAAGCCTGTACTATTCTCAGCCTTCCGGCTACAGGATCCGCACATCCCCCATTCTACCAGACCGAGACTGGAGAAGATGACCCTAAATTCTACCCCCACCCACCACCAGTCACCTTCTGGCATTCCTATTAGTGCCATGTCTTTCTGCAAATGCTGTTCCCCTGGCCAGGGCCACACCTACTTATGAGGCCTAATTGAAGAGCCATCTCCTGCAGGAAGGCTACTGTGATGGCCTCTCTTCTGTGCCCCTAAAGCATTTAACATGGCCCTATGGCAGTTATGACACGCGATACAAGTATCCCCTGCTTTTCCAAAGTTTGCGCTATGCCACTTTACTTTTCCAAAGACCTACATTAGTACCTATTTTCACTAACCGAAAGAAATCCACAGGATTTCTGTGGAAAAGTGAAAAGGATTTTCACTTCCACGAAAAAAGGCAAAAAGCCCAACTAGCATTCAGCACTGGTTTTGTGGCAAGATGAGCCGGTATAGGGTAGCACGCACCCGGGAGCAGCCAAGTGGCGCCCACGGCTCCTTCGCCAGGAGACCCACTCAGCATCTCAGCATCAAGCTGCCAGACCTCCAAGCTGTGTCTGGAAGCACCTGGGCTTTACCTCCATTTATTTGGTGCATCTGTTAGCAAGATGTGTCCTAAGGTATCAGAAAAACCAGGACAGGTGATTTTTGGGGGGTCTAAGAATGCTCAAATTTTTTTTTTTGTATAAAGTAACGGTAACTGCTTCTTTGCTTTAGTCCATTTTGGCTCATGTAAGGTTTCATAGAACGCTCTGGTTTTGGATAGTGGGGAAACCTGTAGTCCCAAATCTTGTAGTCCCGAACCTTGTTATTATCTCTTCCAATTAGTTTTTCTGTGACCAGCTTCAAGTGCATTTATCTCTTCAACCATCAGAGCAGTTCACAAATAGTAGGTGCTCAATTAATGGTTTTTTTTTTGGGGAGAGAAAAGTTTACCAAGTCCTTTTCACCCCTAAGACTTAACACTCATCATTATGTGATGCAGTGGGCACTAATATACATACTTCCTAAATTAATCCATCTCAGGATAAATATCTGCTTATGAAATTAGAAAGGTATCAGGTATTCAAAGAGGATTGTTGTGAATGGCAAATAGGCACATGCAAACGTACTCCATGTCATTCGCCTTTTGGGAAAAGCAAATTGAAACTACAACGAGGTACCACTACATACCCACCAGAATTAGCAAGATTAAAAGACCAACATCACCAAATGCTGGCAAGGATGGTGGGGAGGTGGGGGGGGGGGACAGGGGTGGGGGGGGGCACAGGGTACTGGAAGTTTATGGATTGCTGGTAGGAATGTAAAAGGATGCAACTGGAACATAGTTTGGCCAGTTGTTCATCAAGTTAAGCATACACTTAGCACATATAAAAACTGCAATCCCACCCTCAGGTCTATGCCCGGAAAACAAAAGCATGTATCCACAAAACGACACATGCATGCAGATTCATAGCTGCTTTACTCATTAACAGCTCCAAACTGGAAACAACCCAAATGTCTACCAACAGGCATTTGAAGAAACACTGTGCCCCAGCCCAGACAACAAAGAGGAACATAGTACCAACCAACTAACTAACACGCTCAGCAGCTCCAGTGAACCTCAAAGGCATTATGCTATGTGAAATAGACACAAAGGACAACACCGGATTGCAGGACTCCTTTTTTTTTATGACATCCTGGAAAATGCCAACTTTAAGGGACAGAAAACCGATTGAGCCTTGCCAGGTGTTAGGTGTGGAAGCCATCCCTGATGGTGAGGGGTTAAGAGAACACTTCTGGAAATGCAAAGGTTCTGTGTCAGGACTGAGGTGGTGGTTATGGGACTGAACATATCTGTCACCGTCACGTAGCAGATGAATCTTCCTGTATGTAAATTACACCTCAATAAAACAAAGACACTTGGTATCCAGTAGACAGCTCCCTAATCCAACCTACTCATGCCCAGATTAGTGCTTTATTCTAAGTCTAACATGGACAAGATCCCTTGCAAAGAAGGTGGCCAGCAAAGAAGCTGGCCAAATGTGGACAGGCCACCCCTACTGAGATCCTTTCCAAGCATCTGTTCAAGGCTGACTGAGGGATCTTACTTCCTACACAGTGGGTACCAACAGCCCACTTTACATATGAGAAACACATGCCATGGGCAACGGACTGCCCATGCTGGCACTCAGCCCCACTGGGCTCTGCCTTTAAAAGGGTGGGCTCCAAGGGCACAGGGTCAAGGATGCAAGATGAGTAGGCATTGCCCCTGGGAGAAGTTCTGCCCCTACACATTCCTTCCCCTAAATGGTCAGGGTGGCAAGTGCGGCGGCGGCGGCGGGGGGGGACAGACACCCAAGGTCATCCCCAGCAGGCTCAGCACCAGAATCCCAGGCTGGATGAGACATCTCCCTTGTCTGCACTGCAAATACAACTGAGCCAGCGAGGGAGGGGGCCAGATTCTCCAAGCTGAACATAATGACTTCATCACAGTCGGTGGCAAGCTCTCCACCTCTGCTCAGCAGACACAAGGAGGCTAGCTTCTAGAGGCAGAAAGGACAGCTCTCCTGTTCCCACTGTTGTCCTGCCCAGTCAAGCTCATTCCAGATCAACTAAGGTCTACAAGGCACAAGGATTTATTTGGACCCAATACTCCCTGCCTCATGGGGGGTGGGGGGATGCGGCAGCAGCTCCCCTCACTCATCCTCCCTCCCGTGCTGCCTCAGGGAAGAATAGGACTTGGATGAGTAATTTATTTGGCCAGAGCTAGGGAAGAGGGAAAATGAGCCAGTAAAGGGAAGAAAGCCAATTCTGGGTGCACCTGTCATAACAGGAATATTCCTGTTACGGCAGGGGCTCCCCCTCCCTAGGGGCCTGGGGAGGTGGTTCAGGAATGCCTTGAAGTCATCCAGCCAGGGGTGCTGAAGCTGGGGTACCCCTCCCCCAGGACTTCCTGCACTTCTACAAGGAGAGAAAAAACAGGGGTAGCCCTGGCACCTGAGGCCCCATGGGTGTCAAAGGGGATGTGGGCTGGCTGACACAGCCCGCCACAGCTTCCCATTGACTGGTCTCTGACCCAGGCCTGGCCCAGCCCTGCCCAGTCTTCTCTGACAGTTCCCAAACCCACCTCCTCTTTCCGCCCCCCTCCCCAGATTCCATCCAGTTCCTCCCACCCCTCTTGGGGACTACACTAGTACCACTAGTCTCTATTTCTCGTCTCTAAGTCCCACCTCCAACTACCTTGTTTCCCTGCCTAATATCCTTCCCTCAGGAGCTGCAAGACCCAATCCCACTGCCTGCACTCTTCTCAGACCCCGCACCACACACAGGACCCCCACTCCGGCCCCCCTCAGGCCTGCCCTCCCAGGCCAAGGCCCCTCCCCTGCACCACCCCTAGCTCAGGGCCTGGCAGTGGGCACTCAGCAATACTGCCGAGTGAGGGGCAGAGCTCAGGGCTAGTGAGATCCTGGCATAAGCCCCAGAATGCTGCCCACCCCCCCATCCCACCCCCACCGCCTGGGAGGTCAGGGAGCCTCACAGAAGACAGGAAAGACGCAGTCAGAGGTGTAACAAAAGACTCTGGGACACGGCTGGCCTATCACATGCCTTGCAGACTCTACAAACACCTGCAGGGACAGCAAGGTGAGGGCATTCTGGCCACAGTGGGAGCCAGGTGACAGGAGGCACCACGGCCAACCGGAGGAGGCCCACTCTCCTGTGGACTACGGCCTGGGGGCTCCTACCTGTGGAGGCCCCTCCCCAGGACCAGACTTCCTTCTGACAATCTTGTCAAACAGAAAAGGATCCCAAATGCCCCACATTGTCCCAATCTCCACCCTGCAGGAGGAGACTCAAGACATCAACCAAGGGAATGCTGAAACTCCCTTCCTCGGGCAGTGTCTACCTAAGCCACCGGCTCCCCAAAGCTTTCAGGTCCTATGTCCTCTCAAGCTCAGGAGGGATCAGAGGTCACCACACCATCCACAGTGTGGCCTCCCTGACAGACCAG